TTTCATGATTGTTAGAGACCGAGACACAAGGTCTAAAATGGGTGAAGAAATAGCATTTTTTACCCGGTTCATGATTCAGAGAACTGAGCGGCACACCTCCACCAAGACTAATTTATAGGAGTATTTACACTTAACTCACATGTCTTGCTATTTAGCGATCTTTTGATCTTATTTTTCCTTACCTAGAACCAATTAGCACCGTTTTTACCAAAGTAGTGCGTAGTCCGTATTTTATACCCAGTCCACAGTCCGCAGTCCACGTTTTATACCTTGTCCGTGGTGTTTTATACCCAGTCCGTGTTTTTCCCGTCCACGTTTTATACCTAGTCCGTATTTTATACCCAGTCCGCAGTCCGTAGTCCGCAGTCCGCAGTCCATGTTTTATACTGACTGGTTATAAAATGATCATTTAAAAACCATGTGATGTGATAGTTCATAGTTATTTTGCAAAATTGTCTTGAAATTCCTACCAAATTGCCTGATTTCTATTCGTCTCTGTTGATTTTCAGGAATATATCAAATCACTTTGTAATCCCTGGTTATCTCTCTGTTCCTTTTGCGGAACAATTTTTCAGTCTACTTTACAATTCAAGGGATGATCTTGAAAGATCAACAAGGGTTGTTGTTACGTTCCCTTCTCGGAAGGAATGCTCAATTCAAGGTAGTGCAGAGGCCGTGATAATGGCACAATCAGCGATCGAAGATAAACTTAAAACACCGCAACCTCCTGCTATTGAGCCACAGTTGAGGGAGTTTGCAATCAAACTTGGCTATTCCAACCAAGTCATAGACCAGGCCGTTCAAAAGCTTGGCTCAAACGTGACTAAAAATACACTGCTAAATGAGCTTCTGAAGCAAATAGCTTCGTTACCTTACCAAATATCAGCAAGAGAAGTTGTTGAGAGGTGCCCAAACGCATCGAGTATTATGAGATCAGGCTATGAAAAACCCTCCAGATCACATGGTTCGAGCCCCAATTCATCCTCATTGGGACAGAGAGCTATCACCTGGTCCATCCATGCCTTACAACAGGAGATGGTATTACCAAAGGCATGCCTGATCCAGTGTCAAGACTTGATGAACAAGAACAGTTGATGTACCAGCAAATTGTTGGGGCTAAAAAGGCCTCAGTTAGTGCATCCTCAAACTTGAGACCAATAGTTATTGATGGAAGCAATGTGGCAATGAGGTGAGTGTATGTATCTGTTATGTAACAATCATTTTCTTTAGTGTCCAACTTGGAGTACAGTTCTTTAAACAAGAGAATAAAGGTGTACTGCTCACTAGTTTTTTATTTGAAAGGTCACAAATCAGGATTTCTACTCCCCATTAAGAGTTAAAACACCTCAATTTTTTGTTTTATTACAATGTTGATCCATTTATTATTGCATCTACACACTTCGTTATGAGTGGTCGAAAATTGTGAAAATATAATGTCTTTTAGTAAAATCCAAATAGTGGTCTATCATCAATGCTGCATTCTGATTGGTTGAGTTACTACTAGGCTATATGTTATAGCCCACTAGTAGCGAAAAGCGGCTGGCTTTTTGGTGGCAAAAAGGAGTAAAGTGTAGCCCAGCTTGTTTTGTCCTGATGTTTTTGACCAACTAGTTGGATTTTTACTAAACAATTATTCCTCTCGCCCTCATGGCTTTGAGTCAATAGCCCATTCGGCCTTTGGCCTCATGGGCTATTGACTCAGAGCCCATTCAGGCTCGAGGAACAGTTGTTAATTATTTACATGTTATAAAAAAGTTATAAATTATCTTATGAGAATTTTATCCCCTTCTGGCACTTTTTTACTTTGAATCAAACTTGTGTTGCTGTGATCTCATTTTTTTAGTGTTGTTACATGTACATGTTTATTGTAGTGGAGATGAAATTGTGAAGTGTGAACATAAAAATGAAAGCTAATGAATAATTCCTTCCTTTTTTATTGTTTGTTTCTCACTTCGTGTCTTATTTGGAAAATTCTATTCTTTGGCATTCTGTTGTTGATCCCATACATATTAACATTTTTAGAACCATGATTAATAGAAACCACACTTGCAACCAATCAGCATTCAACAACTGTGTTTATTTAAGAACCTATTGGCAACCCATTTTTTACTCTAAGGGCAAACTGCCATATTTGGGTTAATCTGCATCTCAAGTCTAGAAGACAACCATTAAAGCATCAAGTTTTATCTTGTTAATTCAAGACAGAATGCTGATCTGATATGACTTCAATTTAAGTCATTGTTAAGCTCATCAAAGTTATAAGGGATTTCAAAAATTCATGCCTTGTCTAGACCAGAACTGATGATTCTAGTTCAATCAAGAGTAATGCTTAATGTTTTGAATACTGCACCAGAGCCCCTTTCTACATACATTTTGAGCTGTATGAGTTGGTTTTTGGATCACCTCACTAATGTAATTTTTCATTTTTTTTTTTGCAGTCATGGACGCCAACGTATATACTCTTGCAGAGGTATACAACTTTGTGTAGATTGGTTTAGAGACAGGGGACACAAAGAAATCACAGTATTTGTGCCATCATGGCGAAAGGAGGCTTCCCGGCCTGATGGTCCAATTACAGACCAGGAAGTACTACACACAATCTGGAGCGCGATGGTATCCTTGTGTTCACTCCTTCAAGGAAAGTAAATGGGTGGCGAATGTGTGTGAAGATGACCGTCTCATCACCAAGCTTGCTGCAGAGACTGATGGAATTGTTGTGTCAAATGATAACTTTAGAGACTTGACAAAAGAGAATGCAAAGTGGAGAGAGACTATTGAACAAAGATTACTCATGTACGCATTTTTTGGGGACGTTTTTTCTCGTTCCTGATAATCCTCTTGGGAGGCATGGTCCTAAATTTACAGACTTTCTTCGCAAAGGGTCCGCAACGCAACGAGGTAGGGATACTCAGTTGCATTGACAACTTTCTTCATGTAGTTAAAGTAGAACTGGAAAAGTAAGCTTTAGCGAGTTAACAATACCCGCGTTTACTGAGTGTGTAATTAGAACAATTTAAAACATGCCAGTTTATTTACGTGGCAAAATAATAGAATCCATGCCGATAAAACTGTTAATTTTTCTATGACAACCAAGGCCAAAAGAACAAATATTAATGAAGAACTTCCAAAATTAGTAGAAATAGGATATGTAGGGAAAGCAATGCCTCTTTGATCACAAATACAGCGAAAACAAGTTGTCACACGATGGTAGTTTTTTTGTGGCAAAAAACAGCGCACTTCATGACAATTACACCAGTGTCAAAAGTGAAAGGTCTTTTTTAATGCATGAAAATCAACAAAAAGGTTCTATATACTACGAAAAATGCTAGAAAGCACAGTAAACGCTTGAAATAAACGATTAACAGGCACGTACATGTTTATTCCAACTGTTAACAGCGGTTAACAGAAACTGATAGTCTACCTGTTGTTTTCCTTCCGAACAGTTGTTGACCGTTGTTTCTTTCCTCTGCTGTATTTTATTTTGTATTTCTATTTTATTTTTTATTTTCCTCTGCTGTATTTTATTCGCAAAGTTAACCGTCTGCGAGAAAAAATACTCCGTTTCTGTTGCATAACAAGCTCATCAAAGCACCTTGCACATCAAGGGATTTCCCGTTATTGTTCCCGCGGGATCTGCGTGGAGAAATGAAGGATCCATCATACCACATTCCCGTTCGTACACAATTCCAAGTTTGCTGTAACTGAGGCAATTTTGTCCAATTAATTATACGTGTAGGATCTTTGCATTGCACTTGGCGAACAACTTAATCACTGCTAAGGCAAATTAATCGCGGGATGGAAAAATGAGCCAAATTCGCGTGACTGCAAGTGACCAGATAAGCGCTCTAACCTTCCTCTCACCTACTGATTCATGAAATAATTCCGAGCCTCCTGAAAATTATTGTCACTATCGAAAGTTCTGGAGAGATCCATTTTGTCTGGCGACTACGTATAAAATAATGTCGTCATTTGAGCAGGCAAAGCGTCTACGGACACGTAAGCCGGTGAAAGTCATGCCCATGGTAACGTCACAGAGTAAACGTCATTTGACAGCTCATGAAATCAGAATGTGATAACAACTTTTACTGCAAAAATTTTATTTCGCATTTAAAAAAAGAAAAGTATGCTGAAACAATGGCTTTTATCAATTTGACCAAAAAGAGGACTATAACTTGTGGTAATTGGTATGAAAGTTAAAGAATACCGAAAACAGTCTGCAGACATGTCTGTGAAGGCCAGTTGTTCAAATCACTGTAACTTCAATGTAAGGTCGGAAGGTGTCAAAGACGATTAGAACGCATGAACTATATGGCACTTAGAAATTTAGCCATAAATTAGAAACCTTATACCTAAATGAGAAAAGAAATCATGGTGTTTACAGAAAAAAGTGTTGAAATTAATTGTGGTTGGTGGCCACGGTTAAGGAGTTACTGGCTGTCTCAAGTATGATATCCTTGCAAGAGGAGCCTTACCTCCGGCCTTTTACCAACGTTAATTGTGCTAACATGTCGAATAAATTAAAGAAGACTGGGTATTTATTATATTTGTGCAGGACAACTGTCATCAAATTGAAGCTTTTTCTACGAACTGCGACAAGCAAACGATTCATCCCTTTAATGTAATATCTTTCATTTTTGTAATACCTGCGTTTGTCTATTTACGTAGTTAGTTTGATAATGATTTACTGTAGGCTTTATATTACCGTAGCTGTCTAAATTGCGCGATAAGTTGCCTTTCTTCATCGAGATCATCAGTTTGTAGTTCGACTTTATGATTTTCATTGATTCTTAGATCTTTTTCAAGTTTATTGCCTTTGAAACAAGTGGTTAGCGGTTACCGTGTGCAACTACACGTACATGTATTGGGGACTAACGGATCTTGTGTTTTATTATGTGTCGATTTCAGTTCCCTTAGATATTCAAGCGCGAGGCCCCGCAGCAGTTGAAGCGTACAACCGTGCTGTATTGGATGGGAAGACATCCATAAAAAGAGTACCAATCATGTTTATTGGACAGGATCGGACAGGAAAGACAAGTCTCAAAAAATCTCTAAAGGGAGAAAAGTTTAATGCAAAGGAACCCAGTACGGTAGGAATAGACACTGACCCCAACTACTTTCATATTTCTACTGAGGTTTGGAGAACTGGTGAGAAGGACAATGTAACTGAACCCATATCGGAGGTTTTGTTTGAGCGTCACGTTGCCAAGTATATTTGTGGGGAGTTAAAAACATCTCCAAGCACTGAATCATTGCTTACTGAGTCCAAATTAAGTGAAAAACGTAGTCGTCCACTCAAAGAAGAGGTGCCAGACAGCGGAGCATCATCGTTAGGAACAACGCTGCAAAATGTTGCAAGCACAAGTAGCACTGAACCATTGGTAACAGACGTAAGGGAAAGGGCAAAAATGTTTAGTCATCCGCTCGAAGAAAAGGTACCAGATAGCATAGCAACACTGGTCGAAAGAATGCTGCAAGATGATGAAAAGGCTCAAGAAGAAGACGAAGTCTTTTCTATTATTTGGGATTTTGGTGGACAGTCAGTCTACTATGCTACCCATCCAATATTCTTGACCCAGAGTGCCATCTACATTTTAGCTTGTGACCTAAGTCGCAACCCGTACAAAAAAGCTGACACTCTCGTCAGACAAGGGCTTTTTAAGACCCAAGAAGACTCTTGTTGCAACAAGACAAACCTAGACTACCTTGACTTTTGGCTGTCATCAGTGTATTCGTTGGTTGGTCCAGATGCTATTGGCCAGGACACCTCTCCGTCAGAAACCACAACTGCGAGGTTGCCTCCAGTGTTTTTCGTGTGTACTCACGCCGATGAACCCTACTATAGTGCCACTGATCCTAGAGGTTTGGCACTCGATATCTTTGGATTTCTAAGAACCAAGCCTTATAAAAGCCATTTGTTTGAGGACGTCTTTGTTGTCGACAACACGAAGTCAGGAAGCGAAAATGAGTGTCCAGAGGTAGTGCGCCTAAGAGAGAAGTTACGTTCCGTTGCCCAAAGTCTTCCTCAAGCAAGGGAAGCTATTCCATTGAAGTGGTTAAGGTTTGAACATATCCTCCGGGTTTTACGTGAAAAGCATTATAAATGGATGACCATTAATGAAGCAAGGCAGATTGCCACTGATAATTGCGGAATCTACGACGATGAACAGTTTAGGACGATGCTTAACTTTATGCACGATCAAAAGATTCTAATTCATTTCAACAAAACACCAGAATTGAACAACATGGTGATTTTGGACCCCCAGTGGCTCATTAACATCTTCAAGGAAGTGATCACCGTTAAGCGTTACGAGCCTACAGAAGGCAACGTTGAACAGTTTTTGCTTAAGCTGCAGGACACTGGAATCTTAGATGAAAGGCTGTTGGATCACAAGTGGAAATCTGTGATTGATATGTACAGTAAAGAAACCTGTGGGAGCCTTATAGCGATAATGGAGAGATTCAGCTTGCTCTGCCCCTGGCCATCTGAAGGAAAACACAAACAGTACCTGGTGCCATCCATGTTGATGTCGCCCCCTTCAGACGACCTTGTTGAGCTCCTTTCCTCTGTGAGAATCCCTTCTCTTTTTGTGAGGTTTGAATTAGGCCGAGTGCCTCCAGGCCTGTTTACGCGACTTGTACTCCAGTTCTATCAGTGGTGCAATGAAGAGTGGAAGAGCCCGATACAACCCCAACTGTTTAGGAATTTTGCTCGCTTCCACATCCTTCCTGATCAGGGGATGTCTGTTATTATTTTGTGCCATTCCTCGTCTATTGAAATAGCCCTTCACGTTGGAAGCGACTTTTCTGGATCGATGACGGCAGATTTCACTGATCATCCTTCTGATCCGACTACAGGTCGTGCAATTCATTGGCAACTCAGGATGATTCTCGAGTTGATGCGCAGCGAGTTTAGCTGGCTGAAGAACATGAGGTATGGAATATGCGTTAGCTGTCCTGTGTGTTCACAGAAAGATTCTGCCAGGTGTCGTGCTCATGATGTGCGTGGCTGTGAGTGCCTTCACCTACTGTCAGAATCCGAGCTTCAGAGTTGTCCATTCTGCACCCGACCTGGTTTGCGTGGAGATTGCAGAATTCGCATCAAACTTTTTGCAACTTGGTTTTCATTTACAAGCCCACAGGAAAGCCGGACTCTAGTTCACCAGGTTGGTCTCTATCTTTTGCCATCATTATGTAGAATTTATACAATTCACGAGTCCGGGGCGGATCTAGAGGGTGGGTACAGGGGGTGCGCACCCCCCCCCCGAGATGACCTTCGGTTTTCTAATACAACTGGTATTCTGCCAAAAAAAAAAACTATGTGGTTTATTGGTGTTGAAGTAGAGCAAGAGACGAGTACACCCCCTCCTAAAAAAAATCCTGGATCCGCCCCTGCGAGTGTGTTGTTCTCGAATACTACTACAACTACTACAAGACTATCTTCAAATTCTTCAATATACAAAATTAACACATAGGCTATTTCAGGCAGGGTAGACTGCATAAATTATATCTTGTTACTTTGATCCTAACTATTTTAAGCAAAAGGTATCATCATCATTATTATCTAGTAATACAACTAAATAGTTATTGGAAAAAACATAATTATACTATAAGGCAACAAAAAAAAGGGGGGGTGGTCTCCAAACTGTACATTCTTCATTCTTTCATTGTTATTTTCAAGCAACAAGGTGCATCTGGATGTGATGTGGGAGAACTGAAAAGCTGTATAACTTACCAAGAAGGCAAGAGCACTTAGATCAGTTGTACTTTTTAAATCCTGTGTTTTTTCGTATCTATTCTTTCTTTTAATTCAATTTATAATTGCAGTCACTTGAAGTTTTCTGTTGTAACATGTTTCTTTAATTCCTAGAGAAGTCTCTTGCTCTTCCCCCTGATGTTCTTCAGTGCATTCAGACTCAGTCGAACGAACCCAAGGAAATTGTAGTTCAATTTCAAGAGTGTCTGCAGTTAACTCCAGCTGAACTGGAAAATCCAGAGCCTGAGACGCAAAGATGGATTCGATGTCTATCTAATAAGGCTAAATGTCAAAAAAGAATCGACGTAATTGAGTACTTGAGGACGATAACACCTGCCGGTACTACAGGTACGTCCACAACAAAAACACCACAAAATTCGTTCTTTCTTTTATTACCACGAGGAGAGATACTTCCAAGTAGTAAGTAAAGTTTTTCCAGCGTCTTTCAGGCAAGAACTCGAGAGAAGACTTCCGTTTTCAACAATAGGCAACTCATCAGTTTTCGCCACCTTTAGACCTTCAAAAAGTTCATGTTTGAACTTCTTAGATGTAAAAGTATATACACAGATTTGTATGTACAGTTATGGTAGTTTGGTTTATTCACATCATGTTGTTTGGTAACCAGGTCCCATACTGAACGAGAACCTTGATGTGCTTTGTATTCCCTTCAAGATGAGAAAGGAACTAACATTTAGTCTTTCTGGTAAGTGTTATTCGTTATTTCCTGCAAGCGTCTCACCTATGTCCCCAAAATTACGTCTCTGCAATATTGTCATTGTCATGTCAAAAGATTATTTCCAGGTTCCAGACATAAAATTATATCCAATACAACAACAACAATTTCATTTAGGTACCCAATTAACTAAATTATGTTTAGAAAACTAACTGCGTGGAAGACCGTCGCAGTTAAAGACAGCTGAAAAAAAAAATAGCCTGAAAAAAAATTATCTAGGTTGCTAAAGTGCGACCACGACGGAAATTTTCTAATGCGGCATTTTCTGGAGGAACACAACATGCCACGACAAATTTTCCATTGTCATTTTAATCGTCTGTAGATTCCTGAAGAAATCAAGTCCAAAAAATTCGACTGCATTTGGCAAATTGAACAAAGCCTGGGTGCCAGAGGTCTTCTCCCTCGTTGCCCCTAAGGAGAAAGGAAGACTCTGGCATCCAGGGATAGCCTAGAATTTGCGCTATTCGAAACATCTGTCAAATGTTGGGGACTTTTTGTGCGGTTGAACTCTAAAGGAATATGTCTAAGTTTTGGAAAAGGTAAAAGTGCGTTTCACGTCCGAGTCGTGCTACGAATCATAGAATGAAGAAGAAATTATGCAAAAAAGCGTGATGCACGTGCGAAGATGACGTTTTGCGTATCTAAAAGTATTGCTTTTTGTTGTTGTTGTCGTCGCCGCCATCGTGGTCAACTATTATTCCCTTTTTTACTAAATGGGAGTCGTTGAACTTATTCGAGAGCCTTTTCGCTCGTTTGCATTACTGCGCTTTTCACAAACATGCGAATTGTGAAGTTCAAAGGCAACTGACGATTTCGTTTTTCGCTGCCGTCAGTCATCTAAACGAACCTCCTAGGAAACAAAACTTTACTTTAACGAGTTCAAAAGGTCATGGTTTGTGATTTGCGATTGGCGGATTTGGATCCGTTTTGTGTGTTTCTGTGTTTCTGTGTTTCAAGGTTCGTTGCTTGTGATCGTAATTATGATTGACGGCAGCGAAAAAAGCAATTGTGAAGGCGGCTTTTGAACTTTAGAGTTCGCATGTTTGTGAAAAGCGCAGTAACTGAGAGGCTGATGCAGGCTAGGGTAGTCGGGACAACGGCAATCTTTTGGCTGGTTTCGCCAACGAACAGATATTCTCGTTTCACCATCAGAATATTCAAACAACTCCACATTAATCGATTACGGCTCATCATCGAAGAAAGATGCAGGACCACGTTTTGTTGAGATCCAGAAATTCGTCTACCATGGCAACGGGACCTAACGACGTCTTCTTAAAGTTCTTTTTAAAGTGGCTCGTGAACAGCAGTAGCTAACAAGCATTTGAAATGTCTAAATGTTATCTACAGGTGTATTGTTGTCCACGAAAATATGAAACTTGGAGACGATACCCCTTGTAAACACGAAATTCCTGTGAAGAATTTAGCAAGTAGCCTTTGTTTTACTGCCTTACAATAAATCAATAATCTTGAAACTCAAAGGTCATACATATATAACGAAGGTTAACCACGAGAATCTTAAATAATTAAAAACTGACTTTGAGGATTTAGAAAACGTGTTGGGGTTCGATATTACGGACGACTTTGAGAGTTTTTTGGTGGATCAAGAAGAGGTAGCTGACAACTCTTCGTATGTCAGATTTACCCAAGTGCAGAGGGATGATCTGGAAACAGTACTCGAGAGGATTTCAAGAGATTGGAGAATATGAAATTGCTTCCTGGTTATTAGATATAATTTCTTCAAATGAAGGCGAGGAGAAAGTACAATCATTTTTACTCTGTGTTCGGGAAGCTTTTTCGGCCTCTGTTACAACCAAATCGCTTGAGACTTTTAAACCCTCTTACGCATCAAGCAAGGTGAAAAACGAAAACGATGCGGAATGGTAACAGCACTGAGTAAAGTCCAATTCGGTCTGTAATCATACGAGTGATTAAAGCAGGAGTCCGATTTGCTTAATCACGAGTATGATTAGTATAGGTAATAGCATGATGTGTAGTGATATTTGGTATAAATACCACGAGTGATATTTCGAAATTGTTAAACGTAATTCGAGTGAAATTTGAGACAATTTTGAAATATCACGAGTGGTATTTATGCCGAATAACACGTACAAATCGTGCTATTACCTATACTAATAGGACATTATAATTGGACAGTACGCGTCATGCTTAAGTAATTGAAATCAAGGCAATTAATAGCCAATCCGATTTGAGAATTTTGTTATAGTTATGATTTCATCCGAAATCGGATTTCCGACTTTGACAAGCGACGTATTTCTCAACTGAAAACCCAATAAACAAGCCAGAAGACTCTTGATTGCGGCTGTATTTCATTTGTACATCCAGTGGAAAAAGACAGTTAAAAACATCACAAGTTGACACAAAACTCTGTCAGCTTCAGCTGTCAAAGTAAACAACTTTTAAGATGCTGCATAAATTTTCGGCATGAACTCACCTGTCAAATTTTGACCAATCAGAGCATAAAAATTGGACGTAGAGCGTGACCAACTCGTGACCATGGTAAGAAAAGGTCTTCCCCGCCTGTATTTTAAACAACTGGCTGAATTTTCGCGTCTGAGGTCAGTGTGAAATCAAAATCTTAATAGTGCGGGGCCATAGGGACATAAACACAACATATTTCATATGAGTTAAAAAAAATAATCTTGAGCCTGCGATCTTTTGAAAACTAGTATCTTGTCCGCGGATAACTTCGAAAACATACTCGACCTCAATGGGTCGACACCTAAGCCCACGATACGGTCCGGTGACACCGGTCAGCGGATACCCTGTTTTGACAGCTCTCAATTGATCACAACATTGATGTGCAATTGGTTTTCTTGTGGGCTCCCAAACTAGCTAGAAAGTGTGATAGTAAACACCAAATTTTCTCGGATGGGTAGATTACCACATTTTCTTAGCTATGAGGCTTCGCCCAGCGCGCGCGTGGAGCTCCGCTGAAAAACGTCATCCCAAAATATCTCGATAACGCTCACCGGGAGAGAAACGCTCCCATGAACGATTTTGGAAGGACAGCTTCTAGTGCCGAGAAATTCGGCTGCAAGTAAAATAGGTAATGTCGTCTTTTCATCGCTATGAAAACTCCGGTGTCATTGTAACCCTGATCAGAACAAATTTTCATTTTTATCTAATACAGCTGTGGTGGTAATATTCCTAAATATGTCGGTTAATGGCGACGTATAATATGTAGTTTATGCTCAAACTTGGGAGGGTTTGATCCTGAAAAACTCTACCGAGCCACCTTAAATCGCACTGTCGCAGCCATCGTAGTCGTGGTTGCTTAATTAAACACCCCATTATGCAAAAAATAACATGTCTTGCATCAATATGATTTTTCATCCTCATAAAAATCGTTTTAATTTTAGTGTTTAACAAGTCTAAAATTAAAATGATAGCTCAAACTAGGTTACAGACTGTACTTGAAAGAAAAAAACCAGCTGTCTTCTGCGAAGGCATCTGACGTCACACAAAAATACCATTTCGTGTTCTGGACAGTAGGTCTTTCCTCAAAAGCGCAACTGTTTCTATAAACTTTCCAATAAAACAGAATCTGAAACTTTGAAATCGCTTTTTGTTTGCTAGGTGGAGAAGAATGGAAACAGCTTGCAGAGAGCTTTGGGATGTCTTACAACGAGATCCGCTTTCTTGATAAGAGAAGCATCAACCCATGTGACGTTGTTCTTGATCTTATTGCGAAACACCGCTATTTGATGGTTGGGGAACTTTATGACAGACTCGTCAAGAGCGGACTTCAGGATCAGCTGACTTACTATAGATTATGATAAGCTCTTTGTTATTATTTTGCTTTAAGTACATATTCAGTTCAGTTGATCCGCGAGGCAGTATATAGAGAATAGGCCGTAAGACTGGAAACAAAAATTTTTGCAAAGTGTTTAACTCTGATACACAGCTTTATTGCATATAAATTGGTACAGTTATAGTAATGGAAACGAATGAATGAAAAGCCGTCTTCACATTTAAGTTTATTTACTCGAAAAAATTGAATGTGTTTTTGCATCTTAAGCTGTCAGGCTTTTAAGTGAAATTTTCATTATTTCTAATTTTTACCAACGTATGGCATATTATTTAGATTGGTTTGCGTGAAATTCTGGAAACTAATGATCTTAAAGGAGGAAACTGACCTTCTTTTTGTAAGAAAATACGTGGTGTGGAGTCAGTTCGACTGCACCTAAATTGAAAACAATTGACTTAGTTAGAAAGAAACAAGAAACAATATACCCTTCTTGAAGAAATTCATCAGGCTAGTGAAGTCAAACAGTCGATTTAAATGTTCTTAAAACATAGCCAGTCTTGACGTCTTATTGATGCTGACAGTTTCGATGACTGTCAGCCATCTTTATCAAAACT